GGTTTGCTATAAAATTGAAGTTGTTGTCTAAGGGTGTTTTTTGTCATTTGAGTCAATAAGTTTGAGTCCCCGGCCTTGCTCATTGCAACATCGCAAAAATTACCGAGATGGTAACCGAACTAGCAATTAGCTAGTTAGTCGTCGTCGTCGTCTTCGCGTCGTCGTCGTCGTCTTCGTCTTCGTCTTCGTCGTCCTCTTCGTCGTCCACTTAAAACTTAATGTGCACAGCAATTATATGTCCTTGCCAAATTTGACGTGCAAATCAAACCTTGCACTCTCCTACGTTTTAAGTTTGTTGCATGTGCGCGTTGAAAATTTCAGAACAGCCCCAGCTCCTGCCATCCTGCCTAACACACAGTTCTTGTTTCTGAAATGAAGTCATTCAACTTAAGTAACTCCTTTTGAAATACTGCTTTACAATCAGTTTGTTGCTGGAAGAGGGAGGCCTCGAAACAATAGTTTACAAAGGCAACAAAACATTACCAAGGGATTACCAAAAGCTAGCTACGATGAAAAGATACATTAGGCGTAAAGACGTCCCTTAAATCTTTACAGGTTCTGGTGATACTCTTCCTTCTAAAACGACTAAGTAAGTTCAGAGGGCCAACAACTAAGATAAGCCAATGCGATTGCTCGATTGCCGGTCCAATATTCTCTAAGTATTGGACCGGGCGCTGTCCCGAACGATCCCGCACGATCATTCTTGAAGATTTTCCGGTTGTTATATATATGGCTTACGTTTCTGAAAGAACATTCTTTCACATACACTTTTCCCTTCCATTTGCTTCCAAAACAAATCAGATGTGAGTATATGCCTTGTGGGCTCTTAAACAGATATTACGCGCCTGAAGTTTGCGATCTTTTCCTGGTCCGTGATTCGTGGCATTTTTTCTAAACATTTTCAGTCGTGTATTAAATTGGCTGCTCGGGACCGTAATAGAAAAATATCGGAATTGTTGTTTTTTTTTTTGTGCTGACCGAGCGCAGCGAGGTCCATACTGTCAAGACTTCGATATTCTCCCAGTACCGTCACCCGTGCTTGGTTAATAAGATATATCTATTCTCAAAGTACTTTATCACAATATCAAACCAAACAAAAACAAGAAGCACACGATTGTGACAAGTAATAAAGATATAATTTCAAAAATCTTAGCTACCTAAAGCAATAATTAGAGTTTAAGCATGACGTTTACAGCTGGCAGCAAACGGCAAAGATTACCTCTGAACTTGTGTTCTTTTCTTCTAATCCTTAACTAAATCACACAAAAATAGAAAAATGTCTTCTACTATTCACCGCAAATAAAAATATTTTCACTCTACTTTATAGACAGCTGAAGACAAACGGCAAAAGTTTCATCTTTGCCGTTCGCCGTTTGACGTAACGACATGCTTAATTAGGGAGTTTAAGAAACCAGGACGCGACGCCGAGAACAGGGTAGTTTAAAAAATGGTATATATCTTACCTGCGAATCTCGCGGTACTATAAAGCCATTCTCCTTTGTTTCTTAGTGTCAAAACTATGACGAAACTGAATCTGGGACAAGGCAAAACATTTAAAATAAAAATGAAAAAAATAGCCGTCGTGGTTCACGTTCTCTAGACAACGTAGAATTTGGTCATTTCACGTTGTTGTTTTGCAGAGGACGACAAAGAAATGTACCAAGAATTATAACCCACGTGCACAGCCATTGTTCTGCTCATTAAACCTTTTGTTTTAGCGACGTTCCCGTTCCCGTTGCCGTCGTGGTTTTCTTAAACTGCCTAATCTCTCTATTAACTAGTTATAATTTTAAAGCAATATCCCGCTCTTGGTTTAGCACCAAAGGGTGATCTTTTTTATTTACTTGTAATATAGATCCTAGGTTTTTTTAACTGTCATACAAAAAGGTGATTGCACATCTCGGGACATTTTCCTTTTGTTTTGTATTCTTTAGCTAAATTAAGGAATAACTATAGGATTACTGTTAACTAAATAAGTCCTCGCAACAGAATATCAAATCTCTTTACTTTTTCAGCCCGTTTTTTGCGATACAATCGGGAGAATATAGTTTTCAATTAAAACGTTTTACTTGGATAAAATCCATCATTTTCTTAACTTGCCTAAGCATTAAACTTTGAAATATAATATTTACTTTGTAATGTATATAGTTCAGAATTCACAAGAAACACTTTTCGACGGATGCTAATTCAATGTCGGCAAAAACTGAATAACCGAACAATGTTAAAAATAACCATGGAGTAAAAGTGTTTCGAAAACATGATCACTGTTTTTAATAGCATTATGTTGACTTTGTTTAATCATGGTTTGTTTGCGGTTAGCCCATGTAGAATGGTTGTTGGGGATGGCTGTCGAAAGCAAACCCTTGTTTCTTTTGTCTTGTTGTTTCCCGAGTGTTTAAAGTTTGTGTTGACATGCTCTAATCAATCAAAGCCAACACGCTGTCGTTAAGTTTCTTCTAATCCGGAGGAAAGTGTACCTTGTCTGGGACGGATCTAGGGGTGTTCGGGGGATTCGGTCGAACCCCCTAAATTAAAAAAAAAAAAAATTGAGACATTATAACACGCTGACTTGGCCTCTTTCCGAGGACCTCAATTTAAACATTTCCCGGCGGATGATGCCCCCGGACCCCCCCAACAGGGGAACCCCTTCGGCGGTCCGTATCTCGAACCCCCTGCTCTGAAATCCTGTATCCACCCCAGCGTGTCGCCTTTCTTGTCCAAAGTCAAGACTATCGTCACATCTCTTCTAGAAGAACGGAGTAACATTTGTCACAGACACGCCGAGGGATCCGGTATCCTGGCAGGGCAAGGATAGGAGTTCGCTTGGAGGTGCACGAAGTACAAAACACGCCTCCACATTTGCGGCAGTGGTGCTGTAGATTAAAAAAATAAATCTTACATATGTACTAGTTCTGCAACCCGTCTGAGTGGTATACCATGAAATATCACACGAGTCACTTGTATTTTCTCGATATACACACAAGCCTTTAGGTGAATGTGTATACTGAGAAAATACAAGTGATAAGTGGCATATTCCACGTGATCAGAAACTGGATCGAGAGTTCTCATTGGCTCAGCCATCGTGGGTCATGAACCATTATACCATGCTCTACAAATATGGTAAGCGTACGCGTGACTTCTTGGGGCGTTTTTGATTTTATTTTAGTCCAGTTTTCTAAATTTTGAGGGCGTTTTTGATAAAACAATTATTCTACTCGTGCTTGTTGGATGTGAGATGATTATAGCCAACTCATATCCAACACGCGCTCCTGGAACAATTGTTATGTGTAACAAGAGCAAGCGCATAGATATGCCATGATATATACCGTCGAGTATACAACGGCTTTTCTGTATTCTGATTGGCTGTATTTTCTATGGTATGGTATAAAAGCTAGTATTATCCAGTATACAAAACCTGTAAGTAAAACCTTATCCAGTAAAACACGTTTTACCTAACTTTGGATACATCACGAGTTTAGAACGAGGGTACAAGAGAGAATATCATGAATCGGTCATGGATAACACAAGTGAATATATGAAAGATCATATATTTGAATTGCAGAGAAAGATGTAAAGACGTCAACGGGATTCCAACCCATGACCTCTGCGATACCGGTGTAGAGCTCTGCAAACTGAGCTATCAAGCCAACTAGGCGCTGGTCACGTTCAACCCTGATTTTTTTAGGCTTTAATTTCGCAGCTGCTTAAGCTGTACATATAACTACAATGATCATTCATGTCTTCACAATAAGTACATTCCTTTCACAAAATAGGAATAAACCACGTGAAGTAAAGGTATTACTGATATTCTCAGAAACTGTCGCTAGACCTGCTTTTATCTTGAAGTTCTTGTTTCATATAGTCCCGATACGTGTAACTGATACGTTTTCCTTAGCAGAAAATTCAAAAGCACTCTATATTACAGTACCTTTCTGTTCACCAGTGAAAACCTTGTCTTACAAGCCATGCAGTTCTTGATCAAGTCATCAGATACCCAGGCCCTGGTGACAAGGCAGGCTGTGTGTGTACTGCCGCACGCTACAGAGCGAACACGCTTGCCATCCATGTCCAGTTCACAGGGCAACGGCCTGGAATGAAAACATAACAGCAGTGAACTGCTTGCCACGGGAGGCGAAAAGGTGGGGGAAGTCAGGTGTCCCGTAAGCTGACACTCGACAAACCTGAAAAATGTCCACTCACGAAAAATATATGTTGTAGTTTAAAAAACATTCAGTCATGAGAAGATGAAGGGAGAGAGAGAGTTAATCCCACAGACAGGCCTGTTCCGAAAGCAATCCCTTTTGAGCTATTTTTAGACATAGTGCTCATTGTAACACGACCACGCCTATTGCGTGGATGCTTTCGTGGAGGATGAAAATGCGCGTTAAGCTACTTGGGCTGTCCACGTGAGCAGAATCCACTTCACATGATTGGCTATTTCTATAACCTCCAGGGATTTCCAAAACCGGGAGTGATCTAAAAATTTCCTGACATTGGAAATAAGGCTTACATAGGAGATTTACACTATTACTCTTCATTCTCTCTTGCTACAGTTTTATTTTCTTCTAACCCACGTTTATTTGTTTCAGCCTAAAGATCACAGGTTTACTCTTATATTACAGTAATATCTGAAAATCTCAATCAACAGTGATTTGAATATTGACGCGAAAAGATTGTCAAGGATTCCAACTTACCTGTCTCTTGTATCACCATGACCTAAGCGACCCGCCCTTCCCTTGCCCCAGATGAATACTTCTCCTGTTTCTGTAACAGAAAGACAGCAAAGGGCCTCGTAAGGAGTCACGGCGATTTGGAAAAGGGAGTCATCAACAGAGCTGGTCGCTCGTGAGAATAAAATCTCGTCAACAAACACCACCCAAAAGTCAGGCGTTGGTTTTAAAAGAGATTACGAACACAGAATTGAGGTGGTGCATATTTCCACTGCACCCTGGGGGCAAGACATATAACTGACCTGTGACAGCGGCTGTGTGAGAAGCACCACAGGACACCTGGACTGGTTTGGCAGCTCTTGAGTGAGCAGAGAGATGGATGCGTTTTGGAGCATTCAGCCTTAACACCGGGTCTTCTGACTTGCCTCGCTGGTTTATCCCGAGCTGGTTATCTGTGTTATCGCCCATCCCAAACAGCTTCCCCTTTTCTGAAACAATGATAAAGCGCCATGAATTCTGCCGTCAGAAATATTAACCTTGACGACAACCGTTTGATAAGAAAAGAGCAGTCTTAAACTGAGTGTTGTACACTCTGAACAATGAAATCACAATGGCCAAACACAGTAAATGTAAACAACACAATGAACCAATGAGAAAGCAAAGCAAATAGACGTAACAAGCACCAAGCGCGGGAAAACACGATAGAACAAGCCGCGACTGACTATTCTTTTGCATCTGATTGGCTACGCAGAAGGCGCAAGTTTTTAAGCCAATCATAGCGCTTAGTAAGTAAACCTAATGAAAGTAATTCTGGTTTACTTGCGACACTCAATTGAAAATTGCTAAATTACATGTAATGCAGTTTAGTTTACGGTGAAATAATCAACGGAGTTAAAGTGCTAAGCAGAAGCGTCTTTCTGATCGATTCCAGGTGAAATTTGTCCATCAGCAACACCAAAGTGTAAACAAATAAAAGACAACCAGGACTGTCCCTTTTCCAGGATCATAAAGAAAAAGTATTTTTCTTTTCTTCCCAAAAAATGTTCCACGAATACATCAATTCCTATCCTCCTATCTTATTTTGCGGATGTTAAATTTTGGTTTCCACTACCAGATTATGAAACACACCATACTGTGACAACATTACGAGTGACACGTGGTACAGCTTACTTGTTAAAAATACAGTGTGTTTATCCCCACAACTCACATCAATGATGTGGTGACTTCTACAAAACACAAAACCATGACAATTAACATCAGTAAACAATTTTACAACCAGGACCGGGTTGTCCTAAAGCCAGTTAACGCTAACCCAGGATAAAAAGCGAACCGAAGTATTTATTCTTCCTGTACAAAAATGTTTTTCACTGCTCAATTTTTTTGCAGTTTGAGACTATTCAACCTCAAAACTGAATGGCAAACAATACAAACAGAAAACCTCACTGAAAAGTTACAAAACTGAAATCTAAATTCCCACTAGTCCATGGTTAGCTTAATTGGCTTTAAACAATTTGGCCCAGTAGTTTCCACGTTAGTCAGCCAGCCCCTAGAAAATCCCTTCACATCACAGTGTTGGAGTTTGCCGCCACGCAACCTTCAAGGACAGAACGCAAAGCTAAAATGAAGAGCCGGAAAAGTTCCAAGCAGCTGGTATTTGCTTCATACACTTGACCTCTCAGATTGAAGGCTTCTAACGCTACGCTCGTTCAATTTTGACCTCGTTAAACTTAAAATTGTCTAAATTGAATTACGTTTTCACTCACTTGGCTAGACTGCAGGTAGTCTTTCTTTTGTTCGAAAATCCGTGAGGAAGAACTCGAAACAGACGAGGGTGCTACCTGCGGCTCGCGGCTTCGCATGTCACGCTCGCACGCTCGCGACCGCTCACTTGCGTTGAGTTCTTCTTTGCGTTCTTCCCCACGAAATTTCGAGCAAAAGAGAAACTACTCGCAGTCTATCACGTGGCCAGCAGTCATGCAAATTTTTCATTGGAACAAAAAAAATTTCTTACATAAGAAAAGCGTTCAGCTTCCATAAGATTGCTTTGGTACACGAACCAGACCGCCGCTTCATTGCTGCGATGCCATACGAGAACACGCGATAAATTATATAGGCCGTGGAGGTTTTAGTGATGGGGTTACCTGAGATCTGATGATATCTGAATCGGATTGGACGAGAAGCTTATATTTTCCATTCCTAATTGTCCAGAGCTGTTATCACCCCACATCCAAAGCAAACCATGCCCACTATCTATGATACAAAATTTTAATAGGTTGAAGACAAAGCTATCTATAGCAGGAATTACTAAGAACGGGTTATTCGTTGTATGGGTTACAAGTGCTTAACAATTCGCCAGTACCCAATTTTATTATTGTTATTATGGCTAGCTACCCGGGCGGGCAAGATGGCGCGATCTTGCCCCTCGGGATTACCCGCTGTGTCCCGCAAGAAAACAGTGTTTATTTTTCCATATAATAAATCCTCTATTGACCAAGCTTGTTCGGTCAAGATGGCTGGATATTGGCCAGTAGGCTAGCACTTCTTCCGAAGAATTTATGATCGAGGAGGGTGTCGTTAAAATGTACGGGCAGATTAGAAAACATTGAAGGACACATCATGAGCCCCTCATGTAGTATCAACAACGCTTATGGAATCATTTGGTTCAAACCAGTAGGAAACATCAGTTTAAATATCACAATCATAAGGGACCGTTCATTTTTTATAAGGTAGGGGGGGCTGGTGGGAATTGGGGGGGGG